CACTGAACCAGCCAGAACTTATCGACCCCCAGAGAGACCCCAGTCCAAGCCATCCCTTTTTTCTAGAACGGAAGTCATTGGTTTAAATTGCAGGGGAATTCTCTGCTCTGATCGATTCTGAGTGTATGGCTAGGATGTTTAAGTAGTGAAGTAAGGGGAGAATGAAAAGCTCATTGCCCTTGGGGGCAGGATGAAAATTCAGCTTCCAGTCTTCAGTAACAGGCACTCCATTTGAGTCAAACATTGACTTTTATCTGGGCAAGGACGACTATAAACATGAGCGATGTAGGTGTATTTGTGGTCATTAAACCCATATCACCAAAGGACAGTTTTTAGTCCATCAGCAAAGATAAAGACAGAACAGTGTCACAGAAGAACAGGAAACAAGGAGGGAAGGAACCAGCATTTAATAAGCATTCGTCATGTGCCAGAGGCTATGCACACAGCCCCTCACTGAATCCTGAGAGCACTCTTTGAAAGCACAGATCATGAGCCTCACCTTGAGGGAAGGAAGCTGACAGTGTTGAGGTTAAATAGTTTGATCAAAACCACATGGCTGTTGTGGGGGCACTTGGCTGGCTCAGTTGGTGGAGCAGGCAACTCTTGATCTAGGGGTTATGAGTTCGAGCCCCATGTTGGGTATGGAGATTACTTAAACATAAAATCTTAAAAAAAAAAAAAAAAAAAGCCAAAAACACAAGGCTTTTTTTTTTTTAAGATTTTTTATTTTTATGACACAGAGAGAGGGGGGACAAGGGGGGAGAACCAACAACAGGGGGGGGGGGGGGCAGCAGAGGGAGAAGCAGGCTCCCCGCTGAGCAAGGAGCCCGATGCAGGACCCTGGGATCATGACCTGAGCCGAAGGCAGATGCTCAACCAACTGAGCCACCCAGGTGCCCCAAAAACCACAAGACTTTTGAGAGGCAGGGCCAGGCATGGAACCCAGGCCTGCCTGATTGTTTTCACTACACCCAGCTGCCTTTTTGACATAACATTGCAAGTTCTTTAAAATTGGATTTTGCCTGCATACTCATTTCTATTTATTTATCTGTTTAGATTTAATTCATTATGAATTCCACATAACCCCAGAATAGAAACCTCTGAAATCGTTTTCATTCAATCCATTCACTCATCGATATTTCTTTAGCTCCTTCTAGGTGATAAGCACCAGGGTAAGTGCTAGAGATACAATAGCAAACCAGGCAGACATTGTTCTGCCCTGATAGGGATTATACATTAGAAGTTTATACCCTTCACACTAGAACAAACCTTTTCAGTAAAAAATCAAGAAGTTCATATTTTAGGCTTTGCAGACCATACAGTCTCTGTTGCAACTACTCAGCTCCGCCATCACAGCGCAAGTAGTTATACATAATACATAAATGAATGGATGTTGCTGTGTTCCCATAAAACTTTATTTACAAAAACAGAGTGGGCCAGATTTGGCTTGAGGACCCCGGCTCTTAAGAAGAAGTCTCAGAAACATAACCAAGTAATTAGAACACATTGTGATAATTACTCCCATTGAAAAAAATACAGTGAACCCTGGGATACCTAAGCCAGATTGAGGGACATCAAGGATAGCTTCCAGGAGGGCCTGGCATCCACAAAGCTATGAATGATGAATAGGAATTAACAAAATAAAATTTTCTGGCCTTCTTCCATTAATTCTACTTATGTTTTCCTTTAACAACATTTTTCATAAACAATTCTTTGTTTCACAAATACCTGTATCAAGTTGCTTGTCTCATCAATTTTCATCAAAATAATTCCAGTCCCCGCCTTCCTCCCACAATAAGGATATCAACTTTTTCCTTCAGTCTGTCACATTCCAGATTTTACTCAGGACATCAACAGTCTTGTAAAAGTTTGAACATTAAGTTAAACTTAAACAGATAAATTTTCTGGCATGTAAATCATACCTCAAAAGCTATTGAAAATAAAAAAAAAAATAAATAAAGCCAGGAGCCTGACTTCCAGAAGTCCTCAAAGGATGACCAAATTTCAGTGAAGCCAGCATAGGCCAGGGGCTGGAGAAATCCAAGTTTATCTCAATCTCAAGAGATTTTCACAGATAAGGCTTCAAAGAATATGGACTCACGGCCGAAAATAAAAAAGCACACAGAGTAGCGAGGTATCATGAGAGAGAGTTGCAGAAACAACAAACAGCAAAGACTTCATTCCAATTTTAGTATACGTGCTGCCGAAGCGAGCACAAACAGCAAAGACTTCAGATATTGGAATTATCAAACACAAAATATAAAATAACATATTTAATATTTTTACAGAAATAAAAGAAAGAACTGAGCATATCTCCTTGAGATAGAGTGTATCTTCTCTTGAGCAAAAAACAAGAGACCATAGAAAAGGCCAAGTAAATCTGAGAATTTTGAAAAAAACCCAATAGAACCTCTAGAAATGCATTACCAAGTGCATTAAGAAACAGATTAAACACAACTGAAGAAATATAATTAGCTATTTGGAAGAGGTAGATTAAGTCACAGAATAATGTTGCCTAAGAGAGAATATGAGAACTGGAAGATAGATCCAAATAAAGAACCGGGATTGATACAGACACACAGGAGACAGAGTGTACGCAAGAGATGTGAAAGGGTCTAGGATGATATGACAGAGCGAGAGTGAAAGAGGCACAATTTCAAGGAGATCAGGACTGAGATCTTGCAGAATTACTGGATGAATGAACGCAAACTTTCAACTATGAACTAAGAAGCCCATGACCAAGTGAAGAACTCTACTTTGTTCACTATACTCGGCTAAGTTATAATGAAGGGGTTTTCTACTGTTTTTAGAGGTAATTGTACTGTGAAGGATCTGTGGTATTTTTGTCATCTTCTACCACTTGGGCTTCAAAAGTGGATATTGTGAAAAACATTCTATCCAGTTTGCGTTTTCTCCATCCACGAAATTCAGTTTCCTTTTACATTACTTCACTGTTTTCAGCAAAAACCAGGACACACTGGAATCTAGTGTTTAGGGTAATGTTGACATCTCTGGAGCCCCTCAATGTCCAGGACAGGGTTTGATACCTAGTGATTGCATAAGAAAAGTCACAGACTGACAATCAGCATGATCAGGTCAGCAACAACTGGAGATAAGAAAGCTTAACTGAAAGTTATATCTGAAAGAAAGTAACCTAACAGCATTTTTCCAGACCTTGAAATAAAAGTGGATTTAGCAAATAGCATCCTAATACAGATGTCCCCCAGCCCAACCACAGGAAGGGCTCAGGTTGTAGTAAAAATAATCTTACCTAACATTTGTGGATCATTTACTTTTGGCCAGGCCCTGTGCTAAGCATGTAATGAGGAGAAAACAGGAATTATTTTATATCCTATTCAACAAATGTTCCTTAGCCTACATAACTGAAAACAAGTTGCTTATATTCTCTGAATGCATCAATGAATCTTAAGCCTAGGGTACTCAGCTATTACCTTTATACTACCAAAAGCTATCATAAGATAAAATTAATTTTATTTTAACTTAGAAAAATAAACTTCATGCTATGAAATTTTTAAAACTTGATGAAAAGTTTACAGTTGCTGAAATCCTTTTTTTTTTTGGATGCAATAAAAACATATATAAAACAAAATGATACCCACAGAGAAATGATCAGAAATTTTCTTTTTATTTACCAAGTTGATAGGTGGCAAACCTATCAGATACAGCACAGCCTTGGCTCAGGGCAGCAAGCCTCAAAGTTTAGGGTGTACGAGCATCACCACAAACCTTGTAAAAAAAAAAAAATGCAGATTCCTAAGCCGAAGTGGAAGAATTCTGAGTTAGCAGGTCTGCACTGAGGCTCAGAATTCTGCCCCTTTTGTAAGCACCACAGGAAAATGTGGGTGGGTGGTCCAAACATCCTTCACAAAACTCTGTCTTTAGACAAATAGAGCCCCAACCCCTCACTTTCCCATGAACCTTGAGTCCTGAAAAACTCCAACTCAACCAGAAGATTTGAAAGATTCCAGTTTGGTCTGGGTCCCTAAGTGACTGATCTAGATCCATATTCAGAGGGACAGATCAGAGCCAAAATGATTTCCAGGCAGAGGGTAAAATGTTACTTTTTATGACAGCATTTTTAATAATTGAGTCAATTTAAGAAATTCTCTTCATATGCCTGTCTACTCCCTTCCCTCCCCCAAAAAGAGAATGGTCTCACCTTTTTATAGTCATTGTGGTAATGGGCCATTTTCTCTTGGCCTTCAATTTCAAATTCAGTTTCAAGAGTGAAAAAGAATAGTTTGGGCAAAACAGATGTTTTCTAACATTTTTTATCTGACCTGAAGGGTGAGCAGTCAATATGTTTACCTGATTGCATTAAAACCAATCGGACACCAAGGCCTCTTGGGAAACGAAAGGACCACGCTGAGTGGCTAAAACCAGAGGTGGAGACAATATGTAAACATCTTTGGTGAAATACAATTAAATTTGTTCTGACTTTGAGGCAACCCTTTGAAGTACTTTAGGGAATGTTTACTTAAGACTGAGAGTATTAGAAGTGATAGATCCTAACTATTACTAAGACATAAGGTTTTGTCATTTCTGCTCAATGAGTCAACGACAAGCATTTGCTTTCACTCCTGGGCCATCATGAGGGAAAAACATGAAATATATTTAATTCAACATCTACTGATCAACATGGAGTTCCCCTGCCCACTGAACTTCCTACTATATGATGTTCACTCCAAAGAGTTAACTATATATCCTGCTTTTCTCTCCAGAACTTTTGATGACTTTGCAAACCAGTCAACAATTCAGCACCAAAGCCTCCAGAGTCACGCTGGCCTGTTGTGACAGGACCACACAATGACATGAAGTTCACCCTGTCCTGAAAATGCCCGAACAGCGGTAACAGAGGTAAATGGAATCCCAACGTCAGCACCAGCATGGACTGACTGAGAGAGACCTGAGACTCGGAGTCCTCAGTCTCGGGGGCAGGTTTCCCGCTGTGGCACGGCGTGAAGGTGGCAGATAAAAAAATGACAGCAAGACCTCGGAGAACAGCCCTTGCTTTGCTCTTCTTTAGCCTCTTTGGGGTCCTGGAGGCAACAACAATATCGTGCAGGAATGAAGAAGGCAAAGCTGTGGATTGGTAGGTAAATGCAATGTGTGGATCGGTGCATGCAGCTAGAAAGCCAGAGTATCTGAGGCAAAGCGGCTCACTGTAAAGTTCCAAAGGAGTCTTCCACCCTGCCTCTCCCTTTTAAAAAGAGAGGAAATTAAAGTGTGTAAATGGGCCAAATATCCAAATAGCGGCAGGCTCCTGAGTTGGGGGGGCTTCCCCACTGAGAAAGAGCGCAGCAGCCCCTCGTGAACCTGATTTGCTGGTCCCAGAGGGGCACGGCTGGTGGCCACAGAGGTGGGGGAGGACTGACAGCCTCTCTTGGTTGGCAGTTTCCTTTCATTGCATTGTGCCTTTCTTAACAGAACCCTTCCAACATCCTTTTAGAGATTGACAAAGGAGAGAAGGCAGATTACTTTTTGTCTGACATGGGAGCTTGCTCTTCCCCTTATGAGAAGGAGAAAGAGGGCTTGATCGAACACAGCACTGTTGGGGTAACCTTGTTTATTAGGCAGCACAGGGCAGCTGTTGGAGTGGGTACTAGGTCACTGACCTCCTTCACAGTGTCAGAGAGACTAAGCACAGCATCACATCATGGTCATGGATTCTTCTAAAGCTTTGATCACCTTTTCACTCTTTAATTAAGGTGTTTAGTTTTGACATTATGGTCGGGATCAAGCTTTGCGTAAACTTCAGGCTAGAGAACACAGATACACTCACTCAGTCTCTCAGCAAACAGTTCCTGAGCACATGCCAGGCCCTGTGCTAAGTTTTGAAAATACAGATATGAACAAAACGTGGTTCTTGCCCTCCAGGAGCTCAATTATGGGGTGAGGGCATAGATGGGGCCATTGGGGAGCAGAGAGCCCAAAAAGCTTCTCTGAGGGAGTAGTTTTGAGCTAAGTTTTAAGAACAAAGGTGAGCTGCTCAGAAAAACCAGGGAGCTGCAAGGGCATCCCAGGCCCAGGAGGGAGCAGTGAGGAGATGATACAGGGGCAAAAAGGCAAAAAGCCACAGAGAGGGCATGGCAGCAGTTCAGTGTTGTTGGTGCTTCAGGAGAACGTGGGGAGATGGCGAGAGGGAAGCTCAGCAGGAGGCAATGGCCAGGTCATGAAAGGCTTCGTGTGCTGGGCTTCAGAGTCCACACTTGACCCTCAAAGGGAGCTACTAAAGACCTTCAAGCAGGGATGTGATGAGGTCAGGTTCATATCTGAGAAAGCCCACTGGCGGTACTGTGAAGGCCAGCTGAACGGAGACCAGTCTAGCTAGAGTCATGGAGACCACGAAGACTCACATTATGGGCAAGGCAATGTGTGGACCCACGTCAGAGAAATGGTAGTCAAATTAGAGAGGAAGGAACACTCTGAGAAAACTTGCCCACAAATGGGCTGAGGGTCGTAGGAGAGAGGGAGAAGTTAAGAAAGACTTCTATATTGCTGGCTTCTCTGACCATACAGATAGATGTGTTCCCTAGCTGCAGAGAAGAGCAGAGTTGGAGCAAAATATTAGAAACTTGGTTTCAAAAATATGGAGCTGGAGGTCTCTGGGACATGTATGCATGTAGACTTCTCTGGACCTCAGCAGAGAGGTCTGGGCTACAAACAGATTCAGGAGTCTTCAGAATATAACTGGAAATGGTTGCCCCCCCCCCCAAAAAATGTTTAAAAGCATGAGTTCTCATCGGGTATGTTGTTACACTGAGAGTTCTCCAGGCCTTCAGTGGTGGGCCACCACCGTGTGATTGACACATAAAATGTATTTTTGCCACAACTTAATGGACATCTTACTTAGCAATACCCGTCAGAGGGAATGCTGAACTGAGCAGACAGGGAGGCAGCCTCCAGCTGCTACAACTCACCGTGAGAGTCAAAGGGCGGAGCAACATCAGGCCCGCAGCAAAGAATAATCTCAGGTTTCCTGCCACATGTGAGGACCCTGCCCTGAGAGTAAGAACGCATGTGCAGGGCAGGAAAGAGCGCGTGTAAATAGAAGTGAGCGTAGAATGTGAAGCTTTTACGGGCAGTGTGAGACACTGGCGTGTGGCAATAGTGAAATGCATTAGCAGGTTTGCTTCATTGTATTTGACAGTTCATTGTGGGATTTTTGCTATTAGAGAGTATTTGGCTAGACCCGGGTGACTTTGCCCCCTGGGGACTTTCAACATTGGAAACATTTTTGATTGGCACAGCTGAGGAGTACTACTGTCGTCTAATAGGTAGAGGTCAGGGAGGCTGCGATGCCCAGTACAGCCCCCCACGGCAAAGCATGATCTGGCCTGAAATGTGAACAGAGCACATTGAGAAACCCTGGGCTACATGATCCAACCACCTCTCCTCCCTGTGAAGTCCCTGATGAAGATATACAAACAGGAGATAAGAGTAAAGAAGGCAAAATGCTTACTTGATTGGCTGGTCTTGGCCCTGAATCCTCAATGCAGGGCAGTCTGATAAACAGCTGAAGAATGTGGCCTAGGCCAGAGGCTCAAGGGAGACGCCATCTACTCTGCCTGCCAGACCCAAATCTCCGACCCAGCCAGCTAGCTACAAAGAGATGAGCATGCCAAGCACTTGGGGCAGAAGAGAAAAACACATCCAAGGCCTTTGCAGTCCAGCCCTGGGCTTTGGCCTCTCCCTAATACACCCATAAGGACCGTGGAAACAGAAGAGAGCCACGGTCAATGGGTACAATTCATACATGGGTTTCCCCTACAGGGACCCTCCCCACCGGACTGGTTACTCTCTCGAGACATATCCTGTCAGATTCACATTCCTTCTCTGGGAAGGAGCAAAGCTAAAGGTGAGAATAGAGGCAGAAAGCTGGAGCAAGTCCCTTTCCTTAGGCTTAGGAAACACAAGTGAAATGATATGTTTAGGTGCTTAACACCAGGGGAGCAGTCAATAAACATTAGTAATTTGTAATTATTTCCTTTGTTAGGTTTATCTTTTACAAGTTACCTAAAAGGCAAGACAAGGAAAGCAGACAGACTGGGTTAGAGTCCCTATACCTAGACTCTACAACCAGAAGCTGGAGGAGGAGTAAGCAGCTCATGAACACCACCAAGAGTGTGTTGGGAAGGACATTACGACAGCTCTATGAAGCCGACGCCTCCAAGGTAAGCTATAGTTAATCATTCATCTGAATCATATGAAATGCGTGAAACAGAATCTAAAGCTTCCAAAAGATTTTAACGGCTAACCTACCAAACCCCCAGTCCTAGCAACTTGAAGTAAGCCAGCGCAGAATCTGAATCAATCTAAAACCTTAAGGCATATGTCATCAGACTCTACAGCAATGCCAAATTATTGGCACATTCAGCACTAGATCCAATAGTATCGCTGGGTAAGGTGTGAACTAATTACATATGGAAGCCTTCTGGCTGCCAGACTCTGCCAATTCACTCAGTACTTGCTATCTTATCCCTCTGACAGAAATAGAAAGGAACCCCCTCCTGTTATAATGCAATAGAGACCTGCAGTCAATATGCCATGAGGGATGGATTCCTGATGCTATGGTGGGGCTGAGTGGTGGTGGCCCACATAAAGGTTTCCACTTGGTCTTCCTTTTAACTTATCATTTTCCGAATAGTAGGTTGAGAGCTAGGGCCCTAGTGCAAGGCCCAGAACTAACTTGCCTGAATGAAGACTAAACCTGCTATCTGGACTTCATCAGGCAATGAGCTAACCAGCCAAAAAGACACAGGTAAGTAGGCTGCTGGCTCACTGTGGGCAGTCTCCCAAAGTTCCAGGCACCATCTGCTGTTCAGTGACAAGATACTGCTTTCCAACCAGCGGTGACAAATAAAATCAAACAATAATATTCAGTTGCATGCACGGATGCATTCCTAACACTTATAGAGAAGTCAATGTGTATAAATGACTCAGCACTTACAGTGTACTGGGCCTTTCTATAGGTCAGTAAATCTAATCCCCACAATGGTGTGTTAGACCCTACCACTATCATACATGTATATGTGAGTATTTACTTAAAACATGCAGAGAGCCGTCCCTGTGTGGGCTAATACTCACTTTATTCACCTGCCATTAAGACCAGCCTTCAGAGCCAAATTACAAAGTAAGAATTTATTTGTAAGGTGCACCAAGGATGGTTCTAGGTGCTTTTTAAAATTATTGAATCCCAGCAGCAACCCTGTTTTCAATTAATAGATTATTATGTAAAGTCAAAACGGCCTTCTTTCCAAGGTTGGGGATGGAGGCTGGGGGCATAACCCGTCAGTGAGAAAATCAACACTTCTACTGTTCCTTCCCCACTGGGGAGAGAAAGGAAAGAGGAACACGGTAGAGCCTCTGTCATTTACCTTACTTGGGGCAGATGGTTCTTACTTTGGCAGAGTATAATAATGATCTTTGGAGGCACAACACTAGCCCCAGAGCCTAGGAGGGCAAGAGAGCTAAACTGCTCTGCAAAATAGAAAAGAGTAGATGAGAGCTAGGAATTAGAAAGTGTAAGAAACACGGAGGGAGACCGGGAGCAAGTCGGTGTAGTGATGTAAAACCATTCAATGTTTTGTAGCCTCAGTAAAACCTGCTCCTACACAAGACCTTGAGTGATGGATTCAGGAAAGAAAATGACAGTAAAGGGGTTGATTTCCCTGTCTGATTGGCATAGAGCCAAAAGAAGAAGAGCAACAATAGTGGGTGACATCCCAGGGAGACGGGGTGTTCTTTGGAAGCTGGAATTCTGTGCCAGGCGTGATGGTGAGACATAACTCCCCCACCTCCCAACCTGGAATTCTAACAGAAAGCAGAATGCAAGATCAGACCAACTGGTTTTAAATCTCAATTGTCAAGTTGACCTTGGCCAATATCTCAGTTATATTTGGAATTGTTTCCCTTCTTCTGCCTTTGTCAATAAGAACCTTCCATACACCTTCATAGTAACACTTATCAAACTATATTTGTAGTTGCCTGTACTTTCCTGTCTATATTCCCTGCTAGACTAGGGGCCAAGACTGTGCCAGTCTTGTCCAACATCCAGTAGTCAAAATAATACCCAGCCTAGGTGTTAAAGAAATAAAGCTGTCCAGAGGCACATGCGTAGGCCTACCTACTCTTAAGTCCATGGTCTTTCCCCTTTATCAGAGAGCCTCCCTTCACTAGGGCTACATCCCATTTGGTTAGAATAATACACTTTATCTATTATAAGAATAAAGCTCCTCCGGAATCTTCCCAGAGCCCCTTCACATTGCATACCAAAGGCACACAATGGCCTCCTGACCACATTCAGCGCCAGCTCATTGAATCCCTAACTGTCAGAGTCCTCCGGCAGAGGACGTGAACGCCAACAGTAGCTATGGTCAACTGTGGAAACTGAGGGTAAGGAGACAGCTTCTTTTCCTGGATATTCATAAATATAGGAGCCAGGAATGCTTCACAGACTATAGGGTGCATTTAAAAAGAAAGTTTTTAGATTACATCAAATAATGAAGCAACTGTAAGCGACTCCGTTATTGACTTTTTTTTCTGAGAGAAAAGGAGGAGCCTTTTTTTTTTTTTTATAGGAGCTGGGTTGTTCTTTCTTGCTTTTAATTACATCCCCAGATTTTTTTAAATATCAACATTATTGGCTTGAATAAGAATCGCTGCATCATGACACAAATGAAATGGAACCACACAGAACAAATATAAGCACGTTTCCAAAACATGACATAAGAGATACCACCAGAATAATACCTTCATTTTTACTCAGAGATTTGGCCAACTGTTTAGAAAATTTACTCGTATTTCGACTTACCAGAGGAAATCCAATATCACACACTCAACTTCACCACTTTTTCTAAGCAGAAAATATCAGGCAAGAAAGGTGAAGTGACACTGAGAAATGGATTGAAGGGAAATCCTCCCCTATAGGGAAGTAGTGGGAACAGAGAATGAGGAATCCTGATTAAACACAAAACTGTGACCAAGCGGTGAAGCACAACATAGGCAGAGTCACCCCAAAAGACCCTGACAGCCAGTTCCACATTGTGCCTCTAATATCAGTGGAAGAAACCCAGGTGTAATCCTTGGCTGGTTGTTCCTACTTCAGTTCCTGAACAAATATTTAAGTACTCCTTTATTATACCCCGGTTGCCAAATGAGAAACGCGGGTCCAAAACAACCAAGAGAAATAGGAATATTGCCCGTGCATGCACATCACAATGCATAGGGTCCCTGTCACGTGAGACGAAGCCATACATGGTTGAGAATTGACTTCCGGTTCCCTGTCTTGCATGGCTCAAAATTCACATTGATGGGGAAGCTGCCTATTAGGAGAATGGATGACTTCTCATGTGTATTAATGAAAGCTTTGTACTGCAGTCTGGGCGGCTGGTAGAAATGTGGTGAGCATTTATGAGTGTAAGATTTACACCATTATAACCCTAATGTATTCCTGCAGAATAATAACACAGCCTATCTACTATACAATGATGGGGTCCCTACCTCTGTGAATTACAGCAGAAAGTATGGACACACTAAAGGTATGACAAAAGCTGTTAGGTTTCTCTTTCCTCCTGGAAATCAACATTCTCTTAAATGTTCTGTCTTGAATATTCTTACATTCCACGCTAAAAAGATAGCTTTTCTTTTTAATGGTTTGAGTTATCAAAATGCATGATTTCTATATCACAGGTTATAATTACATCATTTGACTTGGAAATCTCCTTTTCACAAATTCCATTTTATTTCTTAACATTTAAAAATACATGCTTTATAGGAGAAATCCAAGGACTGACTACTGGGAATACCAACCAGTCTATCTATGTGTGTGTTGTGTGTGTGTGTGTGTTTGTGTGTGTGTATGCACACATTTCAGTCAGATTCATTGGGGTATAATTTACACAGAATAAAATTCATTCTTCTTAGTGTACAGTTCCTTTTGAAATAAATATTTTTAGTGAAAAGTATTTTAAATAGATTTTTTATATTGTAATTTTGTTACATATATTATAATTTTTATTACAGGAAATTTTATTTTTCTATTTATAAACTATATACATATATATATTATTTAAAAATTCAAAATGCCAAGCCAACAAAATACCTGTAATCCTAGGACCCACTAGATAATCACAATAATCCTTTCTACTTACTTTTTCTATAGTATGTATTTTAAAACATTTTTATAAAACCATTGTAATGACTATTTTCAACCGCTTTTCAACTTAATACATCATGAATAATTTCCCACGGCAACAAGTATTTTTCAGAAGGTCCCAAACACAAATGCCTTCAGGGACAGGCAAATGGACGTCAGCAAGCCAGGTGGGCTGAACTAGCAGGTCACTGAAGAACTGGAGGGTGCATACTTTGTCAAAAGAGGCAGATAGTATTCAGCTTGCCTTTTAGGGATGCAATTTTTCAGGAGATGTTGAAAATTAGTATTTGTGGAAAATTTCCCCAGTGTTTAAATGTTGGCAATGAACTCAAAGTTACTCTGTAAGCATAATAATATGTATCTGCAGGCTAGATTTGACCAGTAGGCTGCCACTTTGCAACCTCTGATTAAGAATATAATTTGTAATGGCTGTCAAATGTCATGAGCATTGAAAGCTTTTGATTTAGCCAAGTTGCCTTCCTGATGGTCCTATTAGCATGGAATTCAGCAATTTTTATAGTACACCACATTCTCCAACCTCTCCTCCAACAACCCTCAACCACCATTCTCACTCCACCCTGTTAGTTGCTAAAAGGGTTTGGGAAAAAGACTGGAAAGGGAATGAGACCCCATGGCCAGAGGGGGTGTTCTCTTTGTCAACAGGTGCCTGACATCCTGTGGCATTAGTACCAGGGGGTTAGGATTTCAGGCAAACAGCACACTCATCTGGGCAGAAGAGAGCCTCTGAAGGTCATCCAGCTCTTTTAGGGAACAGGACTTTGGACATTTTCCCCCTGGACACAGGGAATAGTTCTATATCCACTGAGAGACCAATAGTGTTCTTTCCTAAAGTGTGTCCTTTGCAAAAGAAATAACTGGCAGGCATTTGGTTTCCACTCTAACAATAAGACAAACATGAATACTTTATATTTGCATGGTCATATGCAAACTGGAAAGTCTAGTCAGCATACCAAAACGATCCCAATTTATTTATAAACACAGAAATAGTCACAGATGCCTGTTGGATAGGATTCCTTTTGCCATGTCACAAGATGATGAAAATCTTTCTGTTTCCTTCCTTTCCAGTTTTCATGTTATTTTGCTTTAGAAATCTTCACTAAACACAATTAACTGGGCTGTTTTGGCATGGCTTCTCTTTTAATTCTCTTTGCCTCTTGTTTCTGGGCTTGTGGAATTGACTGGTCTTCTACACATAAGCGAGCATCAGTTTCTTACAACAAATTACCACAGGTACATTTCTCCACTTGATATTTTTCTCTTTCAGCTCTTTTTTAGCCAGCTTTTGAAAATAGCTTAGCTGCTTAGCAGTAAAGAGACTCGTTATCTGAAGCTTGCCAGGTGACTATATAGTTTAACAAGGTCAAATTCCAATTCAGCAAATTTGCATTCTGCCAAAACAAATTCTCCTTATGATTACAACATGAAATTCCTCTTAACTCTTCACAGGGTGGCTGCCCTGGCTCTCTTTTTGGTGGCTTATTATCAGTAATGGGGCAATGTGATGTGTACCTGAATTGGTTTTGAAATCTTTGAAAAACAAGCATAATCTTTGTGACTTTTAACGGAATAAAACATTGGCCTGAAATATAAATGGGCTTAAATGTTGCAGCTTTGAGCCCTATTGTTGAATGGAGATTTGTTTTTCTAATGTATCTGTATTAACTGTATTTTTGGTAGGCTTACTGCTGTGGAACAGAGTCCAGGGAATCTGGCTGATTCATTCTATTCCCCGGTTTCCTCCAACTCCTGAAGAAGGCTATGATTATCCACCCACAGGAAGAAGACATGGACAAACTGGCATCTGCATAACTTTTAAGTATAACCAGTATGAAGCAATAGGTAACACTAGAATGTGTTAAAAAAGAGATAGCAACGTTAAAGAAAGGATTTGGAAATGTATCATCTATTTCTCTATTTCTCTATTCATTAATACTCTGATACCTAGATTCTATTAGATTCTAATATTGGCGTTGCCATGGTGAGACCTTGAACAGGTTCACTTACTAGACCTTTGTTTAGCCACCGATGAAGTCTTTGAAATTGATCAGGGGTAATATTTTCAAATGTCTGCAGTGGCCAGGCAGGTAATGAAAATGGGTGAAACAGACAAACAACACCACATGGGCAGTGGGGACAGTGACAAACTGGGGTGTTGACTCTCCCCTCAAAAGCCTCAGCTCTGCCATGTGGCTCTGCAGAAAAGCAGACCTAATGGTATCAGATCTCTATATTTTTCAAGAGGAACTAGGAATCTAGGGATGGGAGGGTGGGAGAGAGTCGGAAGAAAAGTATGGTCTCAATCTTATTTAAAAAAATAATTGTGCAGATTACATGTTGCTTGCAGACCACCAACTTGACAGCTCCAAGCTGCATGATCTTCCTTTGAGATCCCAAGCTCAAGCAGCCAAAAATGCTTGGATTTGGAAAACTATGGTGGGGGAGAAGGAGAAGTAGGAACACTGTTTTACCAATCTCTTTTTACTGAGGATGCTGCTAAATTGTAGTAAAGAGTGATTTACCTTTAAGTATAGGAGATTTAGAATATGTTTTTCATTAAATTTCTTCCTTATGGCAAGGATTACTGAGGCTCTCACCCAAGTTAAGCCCTAGTTTAACTAACTGAGTTCCCGTAATGATTATAGAGATGAGTAGCATAGAGATTAGGTGTACATGCTGATGAGTTGACCATTCTTTAAGCTGGATGATCAGTGCACGGGAGTTCTCTACTTTTGTATATGTACATATTTGAGAAAGGAACATATGAGCTCCAATGCCAGACTGCCTGGATTTGAATATCAACGCCATCAGTTACAAGCTTTATAACCCTGTGCATGTGACATAAATTCTCCATTAATTCAACTGTAAAATGAAGATAATGATAAAAGAACTTACTTAATAATATGATTATTGTTAGGATTGAATTAGTACACCCATGTAAAACCCATAGAACAATGCCTGGAAAGTAGGAAGTACTCAATAGGTGTCAACTATTTTAACCAAGAGTCATTTGAAAGCTATTGGTTTAAAGAAGGGGCTATTGTTGTTTTTGTTTGTTGGTTTTCTTTTTTTGCTTTGTTTTTTAATTCACAATAAGATCTATAATATCAACAAGAATTTCCATCTGTGTCCTAATTCTCAACTTTTCTTTCTATTTCTTGATCCAGATTCTCAGCTCTTGGTCTATAACCCAAACATTTATAGCTGTTCCATCCCAGCCATCTTTCACCAGGAGCTCGTTCACATGCCCCAGCTGTGTACTGGGTCCAGCTCATCAGAGATCCCTGGCCGGCACCTCACTGCACTTCAGTCAACCCAGGGCCAAAAATTCCTCCATTTTGCAAAGTCTGATTTCTTCATTGATGGTATGAAAGATCATGATCCAACCATATGTAACTGTGCTGTTGGACTCACTTTGGATTGTACAGAGGAAATATTCTGATTATTCAGGGATAGGGAAGTAGAAGGGAAGGGAGGAAATAGGAAGGAAAGGGAAAAGGGAAGTTGGATCAGTTCAAACATTTGCCTGCTCTGCTTGAATAGCACAATTGCTGATCCAACGGCCAAAGTATCTCACCATCATCCAGCCAGGGGCCAGTGAAAACTCAGTCTCCAGCCTCGGTTGGGCACAGGACCACAGCTGTCTCCTTTTTTTCCATTCCCTAAGCAGCTATTTTAAGCCTTCTTTACTCTCAAGTCCTTTACATTACCCTGACACCTGATTCTCAGCCTCACTTTTTCCTTCATAGAGAGAACAGATATCACCAAGGAGAAACCACTTCAAGGACAAACCCCACCCAAAACAGTAGGAGGTTCCTCAAAAAATTAAAAATAGAAATATCACATGATCCTATAATTCCACTACTGGGTATTTACACAAAGAAAACAAAAACACTAATTCAGAAAGATATATGCAGCCCTATGTTTATTGCAGCATTATTTACAGTAGCTAAGATATGGAAGCAACCGAAGTGTTCATCAATAGATGAATGAATAAAGAAGATGTGGTGTATGTATACACGATGGAATATTACTGAGCCATTAAAAAGAATGAGATCTTACCATTTGTGACAAAATGGATGGACCTAGAGGGTATTATGCTAAGTGAAATAAGTCAAACAGAGGAAGACAATGATTTCACTTATATGTAGAATTAAAAAAAAAATGAACAAACACCCCTCCCAAAAAAAGCAGAAATGGACCCATAAATACATAGAACAAACTGATGATTCCCAGAGGGGAGTGAGTAGAGGGATGGGCAAAATGGGTGAAGGGGAGTGGGAGGTACAGGCTTCCAGTTATGGAATGAATAAGTCACAGGGATGAAAGGAGCAGCCTAGGGAAATAGTGGATGGTATTATAATAGCATTGTATGGTGCCAGATGGGAGCTCCACTGTGGTCAGCATAGCATGATGTACAGAGTTATCGAATCACTATGTTTTATGCCTGAAACTAATGTAATATTGTGTGTCAGCTATACTTCAATTTTTAAAACTAGCTTAAAAAAAAAAAAAGAATATACCCACTCTCAACAATCTTATCTGTTTCCGTTCCTTTTCACGAGTTTTCTCTCATCCCAACAGAAGAAGTGCACCCCTTGTGCCTTGGAACCCCTCCCAGCCTCAGAATACCTTGATTCATCCACCTGATCTGTTCTCCCTCTTCTATTTCAACAGACCCACTCTATAAGCTCTGTCCCCTTAGCGCACAAACATTCCTAAAAACCTTCCCTTAGTTCTAGATCCCCTTCTCTCTGTTTCTTCTTTTCTTCCAAATTTCTTTTTTAAAAAACTCTTCAGAACATTCACTTGCTCGATGCTCCTTCACTGCAGTCTTGAGCCTCTGTCTGTAGAGACTCCAATCTCTCCCCAGTCACCAATGACTCTCTTAGTTGACCTCACTGTCTTCCTTTCTTCCTTGCTTGCTTGCTTGCTTGCTTCCCTCCTTTTATATTAGATAAAATTTACCGAATGCCTACCACTTGCCAAGCCCTGTGTTAGGCACCAGACAGAGATCCAAACATTAACAGGACAGAAATAGCCTCCACAGAATTTGGCACTGTTAAAACTTTTCCTTCCTGAAACACTCCCCCTCCCTGATTTTGGGGAGTATATAGTCTCTTGGTCTTCTTACCACCTCTTGTAAGTCTCTTCTGCCTACTCCTTAGGTGACTGAGTTGCCATGTGGTCCTCTACTCTTCCTTATTTCATTCTACGTACTCACTCTAGGTTCTTCTAGCAAGGCTTCGGGTGATTCCCAAGACTAGATCTGCACCCCAGACCTCTGGACTGGCAGATGTATTCAACAGTGGGTGGGACATTTCTACTTGGAGGTGGCCCAGCCACCCCAAATTCAACCTGCCAAACTCATCATTATCCTTCACAAATCCACTATTTTTTTGTATTCTGCGTAGTCCGCTGGGGACTCTAGATCCCTCCTTTTCCTCACCCGTCTATCAAGTCATCAAATTTAATCAGTTCCAGGTTCTTAGTAACAGTCACATTTATCTTTTCTTCTCCAAACTTTCTGCCACTGCCACAGTCCCACCTATGTTTATTGTCACAGTTATTGTGACAACCTGACGTTTTTCCTATCTCCAATCTAATGCACCTTTCTCAGTTCATCCTCCACATTGCCTCTCGATTGATATTTATGATCATAAACCAGTTTCTATTAATTCTCCATTAATACTTCTTTAAAAACTCCCCCATTGAGGGGCGCCTGGGTGGCTCAGTTGTGTCTCACTCTTGATTTCAGCTCAGGTCATGATCTCAGGGTCATGGGATGGAGCCCTGCATTGGGCTCTGTGCTCAGAGCAGAGTCTGCTTCAGATTTTCTCTCTCCCTTTCACCCTCCCCTCTGCTCACTCTAAATAAATAAATAGCCCCATTGATTTCAGGAAAATCCAAACATTTTGGCATGATTTGCAAAGATCCCTAGAAGCTGGCCCCTGGTTACTTCTTTAGCTTTATTCTTTCCGAAGATCTTTTCAGGACAAAAATATATATTGCTCTCGTTTGCGTGGAACAGAAGACATTTTTAAACACCAATGTCATCTTAGTAATAATGATAATAATTTTTATTTACATATCACTTTAGCACTTACAAAATGTTCTCCCATCCACTATCTCAATTATGTTGTTATTATTGTGCTTGTGACATCCACATATCAGGGGTGAATGATGATTTCCATTGCTGAGGATATTTTCAGGGACTTATCTAAGTATAAATACTAACCTCACTATCTTTCTGCCTGTAAACTCTAGACATCTTTGCAGCCTGGATGGCTCAACGTTTGAAGACACACTTGCTAACAGAAACCTGGCAGCGAAAGAGACAAGAGCTTCCTTCAAACTGCTCCCTTCCTTACCATGTCTACAATGTCAAAGCAATTAAGATATCTGAACAGTCTTATTTCAGTTCTTACCAGGATCATGCCAAATGGTGTGTTTCCCAAAAGAGGACCAAAAATCGCTGGACCTGTATTGGAGACCTAAATCGGAGCCCATACCAAGCCTTCAGAAGTGGAGGATTCATTTGTACCCAGAATCAGCATATTTACCATGCATTTCAAGGCCTGGTTTTATATTATGAGCACTGTAAGTAAACTTGGTGAAAGGACATATTTTCAAAGCTGACAGTGGGTCTTCCCATACTAATCTTACAATCTTAGGCCATTCACTTGAACTCTCTGAGCTTTGGTTTTCTCATCTATGAAATGGAAATAATGTCTAGATGTGTTTAAGCATCTAGCGCAGAGCCTGCCAGAGTTGACACTTAAAAATACTGGTGGAATTTGAATATGAATCCCCCTACCAAGTTAGAAAAGACAAAAGAAAGTGTAGAAATGAGTAATATTTTTCAAAAAAAAATTTTAAGTCAGATTAGGAGAAAGAAGTAAAACAACCCACCAACTTGGGGGTAAATAAAGAAGAGTAACATAAAGAAACCATAATCAAATCTAACAATCTTCATTCCAGTGTGTTTCATTTTGGGAGTTCTAATCACTAAATATAACTATGATATAAATAAACAGTAAATAATAATATTAATTTATTATTAAATAATAAATAAATTTGCATTAAGTACTATTGCTGAATAAAATTTGAAATATGGTTCCCAATTTCAAGAAAATTACAATCTAACAAAAGTAATCACAACAATAACTAAAGCCAGCACTTACTGAGCATTTACTATGTAGTTAACGGTCAACCCATATTTTCTTATTTGATCTTCATAATGATACTATGCAGTGAGAATTATTATATCCCCATTTTACTGACAAGGAAACTGAAGCTTACAAAGCTTCAGTAACTTGCCCAATATTATAGAGGTCTATCTGACCTCTATAACTAAGGCTATGCTCTTTACTTCTTTTCCAAGAGACAATAAAAGAAAATGATGCGAAACAGGATAACATATATATGATGTCTTAATGCCAACCAAAACTCATGGGACATAATGGCACCTGTTCAATGAAAAGCAGAGAAAAAGTTGAATTTGTCTTCCTGTCAGAAGCAAAGATAAGCTAAGGGGATATTGAACACTAGCTAGCTAACTTACATGCTTGAATATATGAAGAGGTCTGATCTTCACAGAGAGAATCTGAGCAAAAATAATTCCAATAAAATAGGATTAAAAGAAAAACTAAAAAGTACAAGATCCTGACTTTAAAGGTGAAGAGGGTCAGAACTTGATCCAATAGCACAAATACAAATGAATGAAAAGGAAAAAGAGAAAGCAAAGGTCAATTGAAGAAGAAATTTTATTGGGCTAAAAATACACACAGTAGGTATGAGCCTCCCCCAAAAGGTAAAACCAGACCTTCTAGAAAAATGGTTTTATCTCAAGCTCAACAGAAGAATCTGAACAAGAGTAGAATCAAAATCAGAATCCATAGAATAAAGAGTACAAGAATGTGACAGAGAGAAGAAAAAGAAGATGTTGGCCTACTGGCAATGCACATTGAGGATGTGCTTCCCAGTGAAGGGGTGAAGGGCAGTGCCTAGACCCTCCTTGAGGACGGAAAAAATGCTGGAAAGGAATTGAACAGCCCCGGGAGTTCAAGGATATCAAATACCGATCTTGAGAGGAAGGAATATACCTTGGTATTGTAGTTCCCTGTGATGGAGCTTAGGAGTAGCCACAGCAGACCAAAGAAATTAGTATTGCTATCTTTCTCAAGCATATACCCAAGCCCATTACCCAATCAACCTGATCCCTATAGGGACACTGGGGAGTATATTTAGGAGAATAACATCATTGGAAGGAAACTGAAACTTTTGAGATTATAGGGGATGTTTTCATTGATTCCCTTTGGGAGGAAGAGAAGGATATGGGAGATATCAATAAATGGTTTAAAATCCTGGAATTAAAGACTCATGTCTAAGATGGAAGTGTACTTTACAAAGAAGTATAAGATTGTATTTGGTTGGAAACTACTTAATGTAATTGCAGAGGAAGGAAATTAAAATCAGAAATAAATCTATGGCAATAATTAGGGTTGAAGATGGCAATTCTAACATGGTAATTCCAAATCATTTCTCCTGTGCCCTCACCCTTCTTAGGTGTGAGCTTCTTAGAAAAGCTATTTTCCCCAGTCTATATCATGTGACCCTTTCTTCTCCAACTCCAAATGCTTGTGACACCAAAGAAAATAAGCCATATGGCATTCCAAGGCAATACCATTCAGAAAATAGCTTGAGGTAAGGGTACCACAACTGAGTCTTGGTGCTTGAGCACTTGATCTGGAGGATTATGTCCACTGGAGATAAGCTCACCATCGCCTGCCTTGTGCTTGCTGAAGCAGATAATGGTGGGCTGCAGAAGCTGGAGAATGGTGCAAATACACCCTGTGTTCAAAGGAGCACAGAGTAACATCAACTCCAAATGTCCAGTTGTCAGATGAGTTCCTTGTGAAGCCCAGCTGTTTTTCCTAGTCACATATTCTGTGACATACCACTATATTCTTTCATTAAGTATCCCATTTTTAGTTTCAGTTGGTTTGAGTAGGTACCTATCTCTTGCAGGCAAACAATTCTCATTTAAGTTATGTAGAAATAAGAACGACAGTGCAAGGGTAGTGCCAAATCATTTCAATTAAGATAATAACTGAGGGGGACACCTGGCTGGCTCAGCTGGTCAACGTGCAACTCTTGATCTCAAGAGTTGTAAGTTCGAGCCCCACGCGGGGTGTAGAGATCACTTACAAATAAAATCTTTTAAAAAAATAAATAAAATAATAAAAAAATAACTGAGAGATGGGTCATGCACAATTCTCACAGACCCACAATCTCAGATTTTTTACATACTAACACAGAACATGGGTTATAAAGGAAGTAGACTAGAGATTGTAGCATGGCATGGTGAATGTACTTTCAAGGGAATAAATAGGAAGGATCTGGTGGGAAAAAAATAAGAAAGAGTAATGAGATAGCTTCAAATATGCGGACATCTACTAAGTGTCTCATTCAGCTAAAATAACTTTTTATTAATTTGTGGCTAAATACACTATTGCATTTCCCAAAGAGTCAATGAAATGACCAGAGGAATTTCAACTCTGAACCTAAGACTTGCAAACAAGGAGTTCATTGGTGAAATGAAAGAAACGGTGCTCCAGGAAAAAAGTGTCCCTGGATGATCATCAGAAAAAGAAAAGTTGCCGGGGGCGCCTGGGTGGCTCAGTTGGTTAAGCGACTGCCTTTGGCTCAGGTCATGATCCTGGAGTCCCGGGATCGAGTCCCACATCGGGCTCCCTGCTGAGCAGGGAGTCTGCTTCTCCCTCTGACTCTCCCCCTTCTCATGTGCTCTCTCTCTCTCTCTCTCTCATTCTCTCTCTCTCTTTCAAATAAATAAATAAATCTTTAAAAAAAAAAGTTGAATGTAGTTCAAGTTTAGAAAGTCTTGAGATTGAGGTACAGAAAACAATATGATTCCATGGCAGAAGATTCTTAAAGGGAATACAGCTCAAGAGTTTAAGATCAAAAAGAAATTCTGACTATATAATTTCTCCATGAGGAAGAAAAGGAGAAAGCAATGTAAATACACAGCCTGCTTTCTCACAGGCTCTTCTATAACTTGCAAAGCATGTGAGAAAAAGCCCATTCAACAAAGAATATAAGAATGGCACCAATCTGTGTACAGAATTATGTGAAACTGTAATATGAAACTTGTTGCAAAAAATGCTCAGGTTAACAAAAAATATTTTATACTTATATTCAATCAGGATTACATTGGAATTAATAGGAGTTTGTGCATGTCAAAAAAAAAAAACCCATAAAAAACCAAAGCAACTTTTGTCTCTTTAACTTCCATCTTTTCAATAAAGATAAATGGTATTTAAACTAAAAAGGTAGAAAAAAATGATCAGGAAGAACTAAATTAAGGCCTCTGCAAAGCAATCTTCAGAGAGCACACAGCGCCCCACCATGAATTCATGTTTCCAGGCTCAATAAATGACAGTGAAAACTACTGAAAGACCAGAGATCACTAAATAAACACAGAAGAGAGGCAAATGTCACTTTCATTTAGAAAATCGAATGGTAGGTGTGTTCTTAAATGTAATCCCCAGGATGTTTCTGCGTGGCTCTTAAAAGGGCCAGATTTTTAAGCACTCACCAAACAATCAACTAGACAATCTGCTGGTTCAAGCATGAACTAGGTTCTCTATGAGTCAGGCATCTCTGACTACCTCATTTCCCTTTTTGATAAGAGTTATAAGACCAGTGGATCATGAGGTTGTAAGAGGTATAGTATCCTTGGGCAGCAACAAACAAATGTCGCTCTTGATATCCTTACGGTCAAGTCAACAACATTGGGTGAATGTGAGTACAGTCCAGTAAATTCATGCATTACTCAAAGAGTGGGTTTGTGTCAGTTTGAAAGGAAGCTCTTGGGTTCATACCCAAGCACTTTTTCCAATTTAATCCATCAAACATACTCTGTACTGGACTCTATGGTGAGCAAAAGGAACAGCAATGAACAAAACAGACAGCTTCTGCCCTTATAAATCTTATACTTAAGTCTGGCCTTAGCCCTGTTCCATAAACATTTTAGATGACTTCAGTGAGTATTCAGAAAACACATTTATTGAATTGGTATATGACAAGCCGGTAAGAGGAATAGTAGATCCACCAGAGGAGGAAATCTCATCCCAAGGGAACTTGAAAGACTGGTATAATGGGTTAAATCAAGTAATACTAAATATACTAATGATAAATGTAAGACTCTGCCCTTGAATAAAAAAACCCTGCACAATGGCCATCACAGAAGTGTGGGTTGAGGGGAAGTACAATTTAATAGCAAATGATATAGAAAATGATCCAGGGGTTTAGGCAAAAAGTCAACATGACTAGACAGTGCAAATGGCTGAAAAAAGAAAAAGAAAAAGCTAATGCAATCTTGAGATGTATGAACAAGACATATTAGAAAGAATAAGGAAATAGACATATGCTATCCTGTGTTGGTGACCTAGATAATCACTGTTAGGAGGAATACAGATTGCACTCAATTTAAATACAAGCTGTGTTGTCCAAACCTCTTGCTCTGACCTATGAGCTCTACAGGCTGTAACCCGGGCTCACTCTCCAGCCGCTCTCTCATCTTCCTCCCACACACTCACTACACTTCACCTACTGCCATTCTTCCTACTCCTCCAACTCTCCAAACTCACCCCCACTTCCCAAGGCATGCACTTGCTGTTCCCGCTGTCCGAAAAACTTTTCTCTCCGATGTATACATGGCTAGCCTGTTCTCATCAGTAAGGCCGTCAGCATTAAAGTAATTTCTTCTAAAAAGTCTCTTCTGGTCACCCTAAGTTAGCATCTCAAGGCACTCTCTAAGGCAACACCCTTTTATTTATTTCATTTTAGTATCTCTCACTATATGATATTATCTTCATGATGAAAAGTAGATTTTTGCATCCTGTTCACTGTCAAATCCCCAGTCCCTTGTTCCCTGCCTGGAA